ACACACACAGACACACACACACACACACACACACACACGCGCGCACACACACGCACACTCGCACACACGCGCACACACATGCACACTCACAGACACAGACACACACACAGACACACACACGCGCACACACATGCACACTCGCACACACACGCACACGCACACTCACAGACACAGACACACACACACACACGCACATGCACACGTACTCACAGACACACGCGCACTCACACACACACGTTAACCGGAGAAGACACTGCACCGGAGTACACACAAAACCAGTCAAGCCACTTTATTTCTATAGCGCTTTATACAATTCTGATTGTTTCAAAGCAGCTTCACAGTGATAAAACTACAACTATTAACAATCATCTTCATTAAATGAAATGAAGCCGAATAAAATCAAATTTAAATATTAAATGAACATTTCTAAAACCAAAATTTAAAATGTTGCATTGGCAACTGACTGAACACAATAAGTTTAAGTAGAATTACTAATACAAAATTCTAAATATAACTGTAGTTAAAAAAAACAATATTAAAAGTAATTAAAACGACAAAAAAGCAAATAACAAATGTAATAAAACTTTAATTAAAATTAAAATGAAAACTCAGAATATGACAATAATAACTAAATAAAAATATTAATAAACACCCGAATATAATAGTGTATAAAGAATGTATTTATTTATTTATTATAAAAATTAAAATTAAAAGTGTTGCAACTGGCTGAGAAAAATATGTTTAAGCAGAAGTACTAAAATTGAATTATATTACATTGAATTGAATAAAATTGAATTAAATAAATGTCTAGTTTAAAAATTGCAAAAAATCAATAATATAATTACTAAAACTTGAATAAACTGAGAATAAGAAAATAAGCTAATCCTGTCACCCGTGTGTGCGCTGAACCTCACAGAAATGACATTCATGTATGAAATGAAATCAGTGCATGAGTGTTTCTGACCTCGTGTGTTTTACACAGATCTGCTCACTTCACAGGCTCACTGTGTGGATGAACGCATGCCATCTGAGAGCCTGACGCAATCAATCAATCAATCAATCAATCAATCAATCAATCAATCCAGTGAATTCAATCCAATCCTCTACAGTTCAGACTGACCCAGATCTCTGCATATCACCTGTAGATGTCTGCATGACCAGCCGAATCATCTCATGAGTGTTTGACTGCTCCAGTGTTGGTTTATCAGAGCTTGACTGATATAAACAAACACACACTAATGTGAATGAATAATGAATAAAGCCCTGCTGAGTGCTCCTCATAACACACACATGCTCAACCCAAGCATACAGAGCTCAAATCAGGACTCAGGCTTCAGGAAAACCCTTCAGACTCATTTGAGTCCATGACAGTCACCTCTTGTGTTTTGCAGCATAATTAATAGTGAGTGAATGCTGTTGAATCATAACTCACCCGTGAGTAGACGACCTCCAGTGAGATGTTCTGCGGTGGAGCGCTGGGCACTGCGGACACACAAACACACACCACAGTCATCAGGATCAACACTAATGTGCCCCACGGGTCACCTAATGGCCCTGGAGATAGTTAACCAGTTTAGTTAAGTTAGGGAATCTATCTCTCTCCAGCGGGACAGCAGCAGACGGATGTTCTTCCATCAGAGGAACACAATCAATCTGTAAATGAGGCTTCAGATAAACAGGCCGTATCTGAGACGCTCTGCAGGTCAGGAGGTTATCTGAGGACTCGCTGCATGAGTTTGGACTAATAGTTTGGATGATTAACCTAAAGACTGTGTGTGTGTGTGTGAGTGTGTGTGTGCATACATGTGCACATATGGTGTGTGTGTGAGTGTGTGCTTGTATATGCACATGTGAGCAAGTGTGTGCATGCATGAGTGTGTGTGTGTGTGTGTGTCTGCATGCATATGCTTGTGTGTGTGCATGCATGTGTGAGCAAGTGGGTCCATACCTTTGTGTGTGCATGCATATGCATATGCGTGAGTATGTGTGTGTGTGCATGTGAATGCATATGTGTGAGTGTGTGTGCATGTGCATACATATGCATGTGTGTGTGTTTATGTGTGCATGCTTATGTGTGTGTGAGTGTGTGTGCATGGATATGCGTGTGTGTGCGCATGCATATGAGTGTGCGTGTGTTTATTTGTGCATGAATATGTGTGTGTGCATACATATGGGTGTGTGTGCATGAGAGTGTCAGCATGCAAATGCGTGTATGTATGCATTTGTGTGTGCATTGATATGCGTGTGTGTGAGTGTCTGTGTGCATGGATATGAGTGTGTGTGTGTGTGTGTGAGTGTGTGCATGCATATGTGTGTGCGTATGTGTGTGCAGGCATGTGTGTGTGCATGCATATGTGTGTGCGTGCGTGCGAGTGTGTGCATGCATGTGTGTGCATGGATATGCAAGTGTGTGTGCATGTATGCGTGTGTGTGTGTGTGTGTGTGAGTGAGTGAGAGTGTGTTTGTGTGTAGAATGCCACCACACAATTTCATTAGCGTGACACCAGGGCCTTTAATTAAGCAGTGAAATGGGGAAGGAGCAGCAGTGGCTCATTTGAATCATTCTGCCGCGTGTCTCTAATGGAAGCTGACACACAATAAATTCCTGCAGCCTCTTAGAGCCGCGCTGAAGCTAATGCAAAGAGACACTGCGGCCAATGAGAAAAAGACACGCACGGGTTAAGCTGCTCGCACAGACATCTGGAGAAAATCACGCCAATATGAGACAAAGAATCAGAGGAGTGCATGATGGGAATGGATCGGAGCGAGTGGGAGAATGCAGCAGGTCTGAGCAGCATGTTAAGAAGCTCGCGCTCGTCTCGCTGTCTCTCTTAAAGAGCCACGTGCTGCACCTCCCTATTTTACATCAGCTATAAACCAGTGCTCGGCTGATGGGATTTTTAACGACTGGTGCTGATTTTAGCACTGCAGGCTTTTACATTACATGACAGAGAGAAATTCACAAAATTAATTGCTGCTTCTCGAATACAGATGCAGTGGAGCTGCAAACAAATCAAACGTGTCTCAAACGTCTCGTGTCAGTCTGTCAGAGTTGAGTGACACGCCGTGAAATTGATTGACGCTTCAGATGTGACGGCCTGAATATTACTGCCACATCAAAGCCGTCATTAGTGTGTGATTAACTGGATGGCTTATGGAAACATCTCCTGAACGCTGTGACCCGATCCCAGTCGTGAATCATGGGTTTATTCGAGGTTCAGTGCTTACCGTCTGAGAGCGTGGTGATGAGCGTGTCTGTCTCGGAGAGGCCGGGCCCGTGCCGATTGACCGCCAGCACTCGTAACGAATACTCTGTGAACTTCTTCAGGCCCTCCATGCTGTAGCTCTGACCCACCACCTCCACATTCTGACCAATAGAGAGAAAGAAACACCACAGTCAGACCACATTATGCTAATGAGCATTCAGTAAGCCCCGCCTACAGACATCACCGACCAATCACCAGCACTCACCAGTCAGGCTTCTGTAATAATGTATCGTAATACTTTCTAATTCTATCTTTTCTAATGTGAGAATGAAACAGGTCAGACTTGGGTAATAACACTACTAAACTGACTTTTTAAAGACATAATAATCAGTGCTGGCCGAAATGATTAGAACGCATTAGTATTTCCAGCAGCTAGAAATGGTTTTAAGTCAGTTGTTTCTATCTTTTGCTGGAGTGAGTCAGGAGGAATTATCAGTTTACATTTCCAAAAAACACAAAGATGCTCACACCAAATGTTGATTTAATTTAGTTAACAGAAGTTAATTGATAAAGAAAATCTATTGATGGCATTATTTTTGACAGCATCGAAGGCGAAGCCATTTTTGTTTTGAAAAGGTTATGCATGCTTTTGTAACATCTCGATTGGATTACTGTAACTCGTTGTATATCAGTGCTCCTCAGTCATGTGTTTCTCGTCTGCAGCTGGTTCAGAATGCAGCGGCTCGGCTCTTTATGGGAAGCCCAAACATGAGTCTATCACACCAGTTTTGATCTCATTGCATTGGCTGCCAGTCAAATATAGAATTGATTTTACTGTTTGTCTATAAGTCTCTCTATAATCAGGCTCCGCAGTACCTATCTGATTTGTTATATCCATACACTCAGTCAAGATCACTCAGATCCGCTGATTCTGGTTTACTGCAAGTTCCCAGGACACGACTCAAAAACAGAGGCGATCGTGCTTTTTCAAGTTATTCTCCCAGTTAATCAGGTGGACTCTGACCTGCTCTTTCCCGGTGGACGTCTCGGTCCACAGCAGTCTGTAGCTCTGGATGGGGCCGCTGGCGTGGGACGGAGGATCCCAGGACGCCTGGATGGAGGATGGAGACGCAGCTTCTGCCCGCAGGTTCTCCACTGGACCAGGAACCAGAACTACACCAACAATCACATCAGGATCGAACAGATGAGAAACACAGAAACACTGCCTCTTCATGGGTTTGAATGTAATGCAAAAATGTTGTTTCATTTGCTGATGTTTTTTGAGTGAGATTTTAATTATATTTTTATATTTGGATTTATTTTTGTTTGATTTTGCTGATATTGGTATTGGCGTGTTTATCTATGTTTTGTTACAGTTAACACCTTTTGTACTTAAAAACAAACAGACTAAAGGTTACATTTTATTTTAAGGTGTTCTTGTTACAGTAATTATACATGTAAGTACTGAGTAATATTAATGAACTACATGTACTTGCTATGTGGTTAGGGTTAGGATTAGGGTTTGGTTCAGGGTTACTTGCATGTAATTATGCATAATTTATTGTTATTATAATAGTAAGTACTCGTAACATGTGTAACCTTAAAATAAAGTGCTACCGAAAAAAACTATATAGACAAAGAAATAATTAAAAAAAAAAGGCAAAAACAACAAAAATACTAAAAGTAGCTAAAATTAAAAGCAGAAAATATAAAAATAAAAGCTAATTTAAACATTAATAAATTTTAATTGACTTTTTAAAAACTACTATACAATGTTTTAGTAATTTTTGTTGGGTGTTTTAGTCCTTTTTATTTTATTTTATATTTCTTTTTTTTAAATATGCCGATATAATTTTTAAGTTTCAGCTTTTCATTTTTGTTTATTTAGTTTGAATTATTTTAAAACTTAAACTTAAACTAAATGAAAACAAGAAATGTTGACATGTAGCTGAAATAAAAGAAGTTTATTTTTATTTATTTATTTTATAATTTTTTTTTTTTTTGATGAGTAGTGATTTTTTATGTTTTTCAGTTCAGGACAATAACCCTGTTTCAGATACTTAACACCTGAGATGAGTGTCAGTGCTGTGAGATAACAGATAACACATCTGAAACGGTCTGTATGCAGATGAGCTCTACATTTACATCATATTCATATTTCAGAGCTGAAGTGTGTTTTTCTTTCTGGCTGTTTGTGAGAAAGAGCTGCAATCTGGACAGGAAAGGTCAGACGGCTCAATCTCAGCACTCGCTCTCCATTAGAAAGGTTAAAGAGCTCGAGTGTGTGTGTGTGTGTGTGTGTGTGAATGTGAGTGTGTGCGTGTGCGCGCGTGTGTGTGTGAGAGTGTGTGAGTGTGTGTGTGTGGTGTGTGTGTGTGTGTTTGTGTGTGTTATAATATAATGAAATCTTTCACGCTGCTCCTCTGTGTGTCTTCAGGAGGAAATAGAGCATTATGGGATGTTTCAAACATCTGCACAGGACTGCTGACATTTACAGAGATCTGCAGCATCATCACAATCAGCAAACACACTTGACTTTCATTCCTCTCAGAGTGACTGAGAGGTCTTCACAAATTCTCCAGACATTACATGTTGTGGTGTATATTTTGAGTTCAGTGCGACTCTTACGCTCGGGTTGCGTGGACAGTCGGATGGCCTCTGAGCTCTCTCCGGGGCCCTGCTCATTATACGCCACCACCCTGAAGGAGTAAGTGGCCTCGGGTCTGAGATTATGGACCGTCAGCTGCAGACTCTCAGCCTCCGTCACGTTCACGCTGCGCTCCCTGACAAACACACACACACACACATCAGCTTTTGAACAGTGAGTCAAATAACACGTTCAATCAGTGACAAAATCAGATCTAGACTCTAGCGTGAATGCATTAGTAAACACGGTTTGCTCATCTTCACATCATATGCTGGCTAATTTTGTTAATCTTTTCATTTATCAGTGAGAGAATAATGCTCTTAACTCTGCTTTACTGTTTGAGTCTTGGTAAATGTTATAAATGAACAATAAACATGAAAAATAAACATTGTAGACAAGCATTTTTTGTTAGTTCTGCATTAGTTCATGTTTACTAATGCAGTAAATGTTAGCATTAACAATAATGTTAGCATTTAACACATTACAACAAGGTCTCATCTTTTAGTATTAGATATAGATAGATTTTAGTATTTGATTTAGTATAGAATGCATTTACCAGCATGAAATAACAATAAGGAATATATATTTTTGAATAGCATTTATTAATCTTTGTTAATGTTAGTTAATAAAACATAATTGTTTTGACTAATGTTAACAGATATAAGTTTTAATTTTAACATCATGCATTAGATCAGTGGTTCCCTATCTGTCAGTCACTATGAGTTATGTCATGACGACATTAGGGGTTTACTCAGAAGCCCTAGTCATCTCTGATTAAGAGAAAACGCCAATGAAATTTGGCTAGTGGATTTAGCATGCTGAGCCATGAGCCATGCTGAGCCATGTGCATCCACTTATCAGATTTTTGATGATTGTAGAGGTCAACCGATATGGGTTTTTCTCTGACCGATGCCGATATTTAGAAAATATGATGCCGATTTTTTTGGCCGATATGTTTGGCTGATTTCCCCCCCACCCCTTCATCTCATAACAGAGAGTTTGAGTAAATTATTATTGCTGGGCACAAGATAGTAATAGCAGTAGTAGTAGTAGCCTAATTCATAGTAATAATACATGGCTCAAAACTTAAGCACCTTCTCAAAACAGTTCTGAAGCATGCTTTTTGTTTATGTTTGTTGACACACCAGTGTTTCCCACAGACTTGCAAATGCAAATTGATTCTCTGCCAGCAGGAGGCGCTGTTGGAGCGGGAGCTATAGCTGTTTCCCCGGTAACGGCTGTAATCGAATCAGCGCTGCGCTCACAAACGCTACTTTATCAGGCATTACAGGAAAGACGAAATGAAAATGACATCGAAGCTTTTCTGAAGACAGCCAGTTCTTTTCAAAGATACATTCATATAAAAACACCCACGGTGCATTTTAATTTTGAAGCGTGCAGTGCTCAGTTTATTCAACAAAGTTTTGGGAAATCTATTTATGGTGGTGACGAGCCGCCACAAATAACTCAATGTATAGGAAACACTGGACACTGCTATAAGTCAAATGGCCAAGTGATAACAAAAATAAAAGAGTTCAC